CCCTGGGGCCTGGAGTGGGCACCATGAGGGTTTGCAGCGGGATGGGAATGGTTGGGCCAGGGAAGAAGAATGAGCAGCTTCTGCTCCTTCATCTCCCTTTTCTCTCTGGCCCAAAGCATGTGTTTAAGGACTGTCTCTGTACACTGCACCCGTACCACTTCATTAACTGCTCTTCCCAGCTAACGGGCACACAGCTTACAGTGTGGTAGCAAGCCCTGTGGCTCACACGTGGCCTGCAGGCACCTGGGAACCCTGAGGACTGCTGACCCATAGCCCCAGGACATAGGGGGCCACAGCTGGGAAATGCTTCTGCAAATTAGCCACTTCTGCTAAGGATAACAAGAAATGCTTCTACCAATACATCAATAGCAAAAGGAGGGGCAAGGAAAACCTCCATGCTTTGTTGGACATGGGGGGAAACATAATCACCAAAGGTGAGGAAAAGGCTGAGGTACTTAAACACCTTCTTTGCCTCAGTTTTCAACAGTAAGACAGGTTGTCCTCAGGACAAGTGGCCTCTGGAGCTGGTAGACAGGGACAGGAAGCTGAATAGCCCCCCTGTAATCCAGGAGGAAACAGTTTGTGACCTGCTGAGCCCCTTGGATCCTCACAAGTCTATGGGACCCGAAGGGATTCACCCAAGGGCGATGAGGGAGCTGGCGGAAGAGCTTGCCAAGCCGCTCTCCTTCATTTACCAACAATCCTGGCTCACTGGGGAGGTCCCAGATGATTGGAAGTTGGTGAATGTCACACCACGCCACAAAAAGGGCCGGAAGGAGGACCCAGGAAACTCCAGGCCTGTCAGCCTGACCTCAGTGCCTGGCAAGGTTACAGAGCAGATCATCCTGAGTGCAATCACACAGCAGCTACAGGATGGACAAGGGATCAGAGCCAGCCAGCATGGGGTTAGGAAGGGCAGATCCTGTCTGACCAACCTGATCTCCTTTTATGATCAGGTGATCTGCCTGGTGCATGAGGGAAAGGCTGTAGACGTGGCCTATCTGGACTTCAGCACAGCCTTGGACACCGTCTCCCATAATATACTCCTGGAAAAGCTGCAGCCCAGGGCTTGGACAGGGCACTCTGTGCTGGGTTAAGAACTGACTGGAGGGCTGGGCACAGAGAGTGCTGGTGAACGGGGCTGCATCCAGCTGGGATCCAGTCACCAGTGGTGTCCCCCAGGGATCAGTGCTGGGCCCAGTCCTGTTTAACATCTTTACTGATGATCTTGATGAGGGGATTGAGTCCATCATTAGCAAATTTGCAGATGACACCAAGCTGGGGGGGAGTGCTGATCAGCTGGAAGGCAGGAGGGCTCTGCAGAGGGATCTGGACAAGCTGGATCCATGGGCTGATTCCAACGGGATGAAGTTCAACCAGGCCAAGTGCCGGGTCCTGCCCTTGGGCCACAACAACCCCCGCAGCCCCAGGGCTGGGGACAGAGTGGCTGGAGAGCAGCCAGGCAGGAAGGGAGCTGGGAGTGTGGAGGGACAGGAGCTGAACAGGAGCCAGAGTGTGCCCAGGGGGCCAAGAGGGCCAAGGGATCCTGGCCTGGATCAGGAAGAGTGTGGTAGCAGGAGCAGGGAGTGATTCTTGCCCTGGACTCAGCACAAGTGTGGTGAGGCCACACTTTGAGTGCTGTGTCCAGCTCTGGGCCCTCAGCTCAGGAAGGACATGGAGGGGCTGGAGCAGGGGCAGAGAAGAGCAACGAGGCTGGGGAAGGGACTGGAGCACAAGTGCTGTGAGGAGAGGCTGAGGGAGCTGGGGTTGTTGAGCCTGGAGAGGAGGAGGCTCAGGGGAGACCTCAGCACTCTCTGCAACTCCTGACAGGAGGGGGGAGCCAGGGGGGTTTGGTCTCTTCTCCCAGGAACCAGCAGCAGGACAAGAGGGCTCGGTCTAAGCTGTGCTGGGGGTTGTTTGGGTTGGATATTAGGAAGAAATTTTTCCAGAGAGAGTGCTCAGCCATTGGAATGGGCTGCCCATTCCTCTGTCCCTGGAGGTGTTTAAGGTGAGACTGGATGTGGCAACAGTGCCATGGGCTGGGAACCACGGCGGGGTTGGATCAAGGATTGGACTTGATGATCTCAGAGGTGTTTTCCAACCCGGTTGATTCTAGGATTCTATGATTCATGGTACTCAGAGTTGCCTGGTGATTCCAGCATCACCAGGAGGAATGGCTGGGGCAGAGCACCCGGGCTTGGGGAACACTCATGTCAGGGATGTCAGGAGCAGCATCTGCTCAGGGTGCAGCAAGGTCTCCCTGGGGACCTGCAGGGAAATCAGAGAAGGCAGCTGGGACTGGAGAGACACCCTGGGACCCTCTTCTCAGTTAATCCCAAATGTTGGAGACATGTTCTTGGAGGGCTTTGCAAAGATCCAATCATACTATTATTTCCTGATCTCTTAGTTTTTTAGAAGTTTTGGGTAGCTGGAAGCAGCTTTTTTTTTTTTTTTTTATAAAGTACAGGTAAATGGGTGTTGGAACTAGATGATCTTTAAGGCCCCTTCCAACCCAAACCATGCTATAATGAGTGCCCTGCCTGCTTTACATGCCATTTGTTGAGTGAAATGAAGCACGTGCATTCCATGCTGGCACTGTACCTTGCCAGGAGCTATCAGCACTGTTTCCCAAAACCTCCTGGGAAAAGCAGAAGCCAACGTGAACACCTTCTTATTTTCAACAGTCACCCAAATTCACAGAGTGCCACCAGTTACATGCCTGAGCAGCAGAGCCCAAGTCACCTGCTGGGGTAGAGTCATGCTGTGACACACAAGGCTCCAGCTAAGTCCCCATTACCTGAGGGCAGGTGAGGTGCAGTCAGCTGCCTGCTCAGCCTCTCCAGGCTCAGCCACCTCAGGCCTTGCAGCTCAACTCACCGCAGTGTGACTTTCCCAGCAGCCCGATGGCCAGGGCCCTCCAGGAGTCAAAGCCAGGTCATGCCCTGTGTCCCTGCACCCTACCCCAGGATGTCACAGAGAAGTCATTCTGGTTTCCTTTCCCTTACTCAGTGTCAGCAGACACTGTTGTCTCTGGGGACTGAGAAGGGGGTCCCTCTAACCCCTGCAGGCTCCCCTCGCTGACCCTGGTGGGGGTGACATGAACCCCAGCTCAGTGTGGCAGCCCCATCACTGCGGGCTCGCAGGCACGGGAGGGCTGGGCCACCACAGCTTCCTGCCCACTATGCCCTGCACTGGCAAGATTAAAGTCATTTCCACTGCCTCAGAACAGCTGTCACCCAGCACTGGAGCCCCCCAACCGCAGCCCCCCGGCCGGGCCCTGCAGGGACTGGCAGCCTGTGCTGGTGGTCCCAGGCTGGTGAGAAGTTCATTCCTCTGCTTTATCATGAGTGCAGCACCTTCCCCCAGCAATAAATCACTGGGGCTGCATGCTGCCTGGGAAGGGGTTGCCACCCCTTTTTTGCAGCAAAAGCCCAGGGCAGGGTGCAGTGACCGAAGCATTTCCCATGCCAGTGGAAAGGAAGAGAGGGCCATCCCATTAAACCACTCCTTTGGGGCATATACCAGCACAAATGGGGCAATTTACCCTGGGACATGTTTCACCCTAGCAAGATTCATTCTGCTGCATTTATTTATATCCACTCCCATCCAGCAGTGGGATTAAAGGTTAATTTCTGCACTCCTGCTGCAGCCAGCAGGAGCCATGTTGTAATCACTGTGTGAAACCAGGACTAGTAAAAGCAGCAAAATGAACCCCCATGGGCAGCAAGAGCTGTTTGCTTCAGGCAGGGACCAGGCTGGGGGTTAAGTGTGGTTATTCTGTAATTTCTGGGTGTCTCCTGTAGATCCTCCCCCTCCATGCCCAGCAGTGCTGGGCATCTCCATTAACTGAAACTGCCGTGGCCAGCTCAAAATGCCCTCCATGGACATCCCAAATTTTCTGCTTAAAACTGTTTCAAGCTTCATGGACTCCTGCTCTGCTCCCTGCAAGGTGGGGTAGGAGCTCTGAGGGGTGGCAGCTCTCTTCCTGAAATGGTTTACACTCTTCTGCAAGATCCTTCAATTACAGAAGACTAAATGTTATTTAATTTGTGACCTCGGGTTGAATAAGACACAATTAAATTCTGCCTCTTGTGAATTTGCAATGGGGAATTCTCACCTGTGATGCCAGATGAATCCTAACTGTTCCATGCATGACTCAGACACCCAAACTGCTCCATTAATGACTGTTTTAATAAATGTTCTATCTTTATACGGACAATTTCCTGCCTTGTGACAAACCTGGCACAGAGTCAACCCAAACCCTTGGTCCCTCTGCTGAGGACAAAGGCAAACCTGGTGCTGCTGAGCATCCTGGGGGGCTGTGACACCCCTGGGATGTTCCTGGTCTGCAGGTCCTCCCAGACCCCTGCTCTTCTCGCAGGTGGGGTAATGACCGTGTGCCCCATCCAGGGGGTTCAGCCCCTCACTCACCCCCAGCCCCCTCATTCGTGTCCCACCAAAGTTTCTCTTTAGATGAGGCCCCCTCAGAGCAGCAGGAGAAGGGAGCGGGTGTCCGGGAAGCCTCGAGACTCCGTCCCTTCCCTTCGGTACGTTCAGAGCATTCCCCGCACCCTTCCTGTCCCCCCCACGCGCGTCCTCGGGCACTGCGGGCGGGGCTGGGCGCTACCGGGGCTCTTATGGTTTCAGCTCTTATTTTCCGTCCATCTCCTCCCTGCCCCCGCTGCCGGAGCCCCCCTCTCCCCCAGCGGCCCCGGGGGTCCCCAGCCCCTCGCCGCCCCCTTCCCGAGGGGTGTGCCGCACGCTGGGCCCCGTGTCCCCCGTGCCGCTCCCCGTGTTCCCTGGGTCCCCCGTCCCGCTCCCCCGTGTCCCCCATGCCGCTCCCCCGTGTTCCCCTGGGTCCCCCGTGCCGCTCCCCCCGTGTCCCCCCCTGTCCCCCGTCCCCACCCGGGCCGGGCCCCGCCCTCCGGTGGGCCCCCCCCATTGGCTGCGGGCGGGCGGGGGCGGGGCCGCTTTGTGGCGTCACGCTCAGCTGTGGGAAGGTCCCGATTTGTGCGGGGGAGCGGCGGGCGCTCGGCACAACCGGGGGGTCCGCTCGGCACAACCGGGGGGTCCGCTCGGCACCGACCGACACCGACACAGGCACCGCCACCGGCACCGGCACCGGCACCGAATAGCACCGCCATCGCCAGCGCCCGGCACCGGCTCTACCTCAGCGCCTCCCGCCGCCCCGACACCGCCGCCACCGGTGAGTCCCGCGGGACGGGGTCGGGCCGCGGGGTGGGGGCTCCGCGGGCTCTGCCGCCCGTGCGGGCAGGGGGGCCCTGCGGGGGGGGTGTCCCCGGGACCCCCCTGCGCGTCCCCCCCCGCCTGTTGTTTGTTTCTTCATCACCGGATTAAGACTCGCGGCCGTTCCGCGCTCCCATTGGCTGCGCTGCGGTGACGTCGCCTCATTTGCATATGACATTGAGACGTCATAACTGTCCCCCCTGTCCCGCCGTGACCCCTCCCGTGTCCTTCCCGTGCCAGTCGTAGCTGTGGCTTTTTCCCAGCAGGAAACGTGGATGTGTCCCCTCCGTGTTCTTTAGAGGATGTCTGGCTTTTTAGAAAAGGAATGTGAATGTGTAACTATAAATATAATATAAATATATGTAAACGTATAAAATATACAGAATGGTTTTGGATTGGAAAGGACCTTAAGGATCATCGTGTTCTAACCCCCTACCATTGGCAGGGACACCTTTCTATACTATATAGTATATATTATTTACTATATAAAATAGAGTCTATATAGCATGCTATATAATATAAATATGTGTGAAGAATGTAAATATTTGCAAATCTATAATACAGAAATGTATTTTGTATTTAACTGATTTCCAGCAAATCCTTGGTACTCTGGAATCCCTCGATCTTTAGATCTTGATTTCCTTCACAAATCCCATGGGTTTTAATGATGTTTGGACGTGTGCTTTCATATTTTTATTAATTGTGATGCCTGGGAAGGGGCCAAGCATGGCAGGGGAAGGGTGCTGGCAGTGCCACGCTGACATCTGTGCTGTGGGGCAGCTCCACCACATCCCAGGACGCTGAGCCCAGGAGTCCATCAGGTACCACATCCATCAGTTATCGCTGCCCTAAGAGCACCTGCTTTGAGACAGCTCAAAAATGGCATAAATCCTAAAAGGGCAACTTTCTTCTGGGTTTAACACCTCTCAGCTCAGCTGAGCCTGGCAGGCTCTGGGAACTACTCCTGCTTCCATCCAAGGGGGTGTTAAAACTTGGACTCTGTGGAGAGTAACTGTAGAAATGTGTTAAAAAGTACATTATTGCTTTTTTAATTCTTTCATACATATGTGTTGAGTACAGTGGAGCTACAGCCCTTCCCAGAGTGCCTGAGCAAAGGGACTGGCACCCTGGGATCCCAAAATATTGGTTTTAAGTGTTTTTTTTGGGCCCAGCAACCCGCAGTGCTGAAGCTGCACCAGCGAGGGCTGAGCTGTGCAGGTGCCAAGTGCTGTCACTCATTTGGCCCAGGTTTTGCTGCGATAGGAAACCATCCCAGACACCCTCCCAGAAGCAGGTGCTGGGCTCTGGGACAGGACTGTGCTGGACCTTGTTTCCCACCAGGCTTAGTCTACAAAGTACCAAGAACTTTTTTTTTTTTGCTCTAAAATAAATCTTTCCTCTCCTTTTATTTTTCCTCCTCCCTCCAAAAAAGCCCCAAACAAACACACAATGAAAAAAGACAAAGGCTGTCTGCTGTAGCTCACTGTCACTGTTAGGAACCTCTTGAATCAAACTGGTACTTATCTGGCTGAACACAGAGGGAAAAACATAATGGAAGTTTTCCCCCTGGATAATAAACTGACAGCACCTGGTCACAGCACGGCTGGAAAAACCTGCAGTGTGAAGTTGTGTCAAAGAGGGTTTTAGTGCTGACTGCACAGCGAGCCCTGCTCTGCAAGAAGGGCCCCAGGTGGGCTTGGGGGAAATGATGGGGAGCTCGGTGCTCCTGTGGTGTCGAAGTCCAATGTGCCAGGTAGTTCTGCCTCTGTGATTTACGAGGGTGTAACGTTGGGCTGCTCCCCTCTCGGTGCTCCCCAGGATGCTTCACCTCGTGCAAACCTTCTGAAGTTTCATAGGACAGCTCATAGCAAATCTAAAATTTCTTGGTTGCTCAGATCCTGCTGAACACTGACAGATTTTCCAGGACTGTGTGTGATGACATCAAACAGCACAAGGTCACTTTTGTCCTTGGGAAAAACACCTTCCTGCAGCAGTGACACTCGAGCTGATGCCAATGGGGACACCAGCTCCAGGAAAACATATCCTCCCAGTTGTGCAGGGTCCCCCTCCTTCAAGTGTGGTCTGGACTTCAGTCCCAACTGAGCTCCTGAACTGAGTTAGGAAAGCCCTTTCAGATGCTGGCTTGCTCTGCCATTATTAAGAAGAAGGGGTTTTTTTTGGATTTTTTAAACTGCTCTCTGCTTTTTCACCTCTCCACTCCCCTGATCTGCTGTAAAAGAGGCTCTAGCTGTGAATCAACCTCTGGTTTGTCCATGTTGGCAGCAGCCTTGGGGTGCAGGTCTGTCCCTGTGCCCAGGGCTCCCCCTGGGTGAACCTCCTCAATGAGGCTGCTGGCAAAGCAAGGGAATTAGTTGGAGCTGTAGCACAGTGGTTGTGGGACCGTTGTCCCACAGTTAATCCAGCCCTGCCAAACTGTCCAAGGCAGGCCCTTGTCTGCTCTGGTCCCTCCCTTGATAGGGATGGACAGAGGACAGTACAGGGATGATGGGCCAGTGATTTTTGGGGGGTGATAAGCAGAGCCCCCCTAAGCTGCCCAGCTGCTGGACCCCCTTCTTTGCTCTGTGTTTCTGTGCCAGGTTAGGACTTTGATACATCCAGCACAGAGAGCCTGTGAAACGCTTGTCTAATTTAGGTAAAATGTGTTGAAAATCCCATTTCCTAAGTGGGTTGGAGGAAGGCACCTGATTTGTACCTCCGCCGCCTGCCGGGATGACTGCGTGGGGTATTCTTAGCTGTGCCGAGGAAGGACCGCTCCTGCCGCCTGGCAGCAGCATCCCTCCCGCCAACAAGTATTTATGGAAAGTTTCAGGGAGCCTGTTGCCACTTCCAAGGGGAGTTGCTGTTGTTCTTGCAGACCGTGACTTTTAAGAGCTGCCAGTCCTGCGAGGCTGCAGCTCCCACCCTGGCGAGCTCCGGCGCATCCCGGGGCTTCGCTGCCGCTCCTGTTGCCTATTCTTAGCTCCTGGGGTTATTTGCAGCAGTGGTGACTCAGAAAACTAATTATTGTGTTGAGGTTTCTGAAGGGGGAAAAATAACTTGATGCATTGTGGTTTCCTTACTCCTACTTTAACTTTTAATATTTAATACCTTCTGGCTCGTTGTAAAAGCTGTTGGGCTTTGTGGAAGGATTCTGCTAAACATTCATTTAGAAACTCATCTGTCCCCGAGGGAATGTCACCTATGGGCTGTCCTCTCGTGCTGGCAGTGGCTGGGATGGAGTTGTCATGCCAAGTAAGGAGGTTGTGGAAGCCTGGGAAGGATGGAAGCTGTCATGTGGTGGTGGCTGTGGCTCTGGCAGGGGACAGGAGGTGGGGATGTGCTTTCTGGAGCAGCTCAGCCCCAAGGATGTGGTGCATAGGCAGTCCCCTTGTGTCCCAAGGAGGACACACCTCCAGGCAGAGAAGCCACCTCCTGGTCCAAACTGCTTCTGTGGGCGCCACCTGTGCCTGGTGACAAGGCACAGCAGTGACTTAAATCCCCTGGCAGGGACACATCGGGGTCCCTCCTGCCCCGCAGTTCCTGTGAGGCTGCCCCAGTTCCCTTGGTGTAAATGGGGCAAACATTTCCCACAGGGAAAGCAGAGGCTTTCCAAATACCTGGAGAAACTTCAGAGCTTGATCTGATGATGGCTGTGGGCTGTCCGAGCCAGAGAAGTGCCTGGTGGAACCTGCTGAGACTGAGGTGGCATATGGCCATCTCATTGTCTGGGTAGCAGCTGGCCAAGAAGTCTTTTACCTTGTGAAGGGCTGAAGAGGTCACCCCCAGTGCTCCATGATGAGCTGATGAAGGAGCTGATGTTCTTGGTGGCTTGCAGAGAGGATCTGGAGCAGCTGAAGGGTGATGTACTGATCACATTGGCCAGAAGCTGCTCCCTTCTCGGGTGGCTGGGATATCTCAAACTCACGGAATAGTTTCAGTTGGAAGGGACCTTAAAGACCATCCTGTTCCAATCCCCCTGCCATGGACAGGGACACCTTCCAGTATCCCATGTTGCTCCAAGCCCTGTCCAACCTGGCCTTGGACACTTCCAGGGATGGGGCAGCCACAGCTTCTCTGGGTAACCTGTGCCAGGGCCTCCCCACCCTCACAGGGAAGAATTCCTTCCCAATATCTAACCGTGTCCTCTGGCAGTGGGAAGCCATTCCCCCTTGCCCTGTCCCTCCAGGCCCTTGTCCCAAGTCCCTCTCCAGGTCTCTTGGAGCCCCTTTAGGCACTGGAAGGGGCTCTCAGGTCTCCCTGAGAGAGAGGAGGAGCCTTCTTTTCTCCAGGTGAACACACCCAGCTCTCAGCCTGGCTCCAGAGCAGAGGGGCTTCAGCCCTTGGAGCATCTCCCTGGACTCTCTAGCAGCTCCTTGTCGTTCCTGTGCTGGGCCCCCAGAGCTGGAGGCAGCTCTGCAGGTGGGGTCTCCCCTGAGCAGAGCAGAGGGGCAGAATCCCACCCTCACCTGCTGCCCACAGTGTGGGATGAGCCCAGGACATGCCTGGTTTCTGGGTGCCAGCACATATGGCCAAGTCACATCCAATTTGTCACCCACCAGGACCTCTAAGTCCCTCTCCCCAGGGCTGCTCTCAACCCACCCAGCCCCCAGCCTGTGCTGGGAGCTGCCCTGACCCAGATGCAGGACCTTGCACTTGGCTTGGTAGAACAGCATGAGGTTCACATGAGCTCACTCCTCCTGCCTGCCCAGGTCCCTCTGGATGCTTCATCCCTTCCCTCTGCTCAGCTGCACCACACAGTTTGGTGTCATCCACAAACTTGCTGAGAGTTTCGGAGATCAGAACCTCATCCTGCCTCTTCAACCCAAGTTTTTCAGAGCAAACAGGATAAAGTGAGGGGGAGGATTAATTCTGATTTTGGCCCTTGCCTGCCAGGATCTCACTACTGCCTTCACCCTGCGGGTTTGATCTTGAAGGCTTTGCCAGGAGCCCTCACAGCTCCCTGGGCACCACCGTGGGGCTGACTCTGCCACTGTAGCCCAGCCATGCTCTACGGTACAGCATGGACCCCCTTGCCCCAGGGAGGGGTTCAAGGCCATCCCCTGCTCCCTGACTCAGAGAGGGTGACAGCTGGTGGCTTACTTGAATTCTTTGGGGAATGATCCTTTAAAATGATCAAGTTTTGCTCTTAGGGCAGTTTTTAACTCTTTCCTGCTTCCCCCAGAGCTGTCACAGCTGCCTGTGAGCCCCTGTGCTCTGCCCGCCAGCCCCCTGCCCTTTGCCCAACCCTCCGGAGTGCCCTGGGATTCCTCTGGAGCAGGACAGCCCCTGCTGACCCCTCATCACAGTGCTGACTGTGAGTCATGGGTGTGTGGTCCCAGGCTCTTTAACTATTGAGAGAAGGAAAATGAAGTTAAATTTGGGAGAGAGGACAATTGAAAATAATAGTGTCTGCTGTGTCTGCAGAAAAGGCAAGTTACCTCTGGGTTGGGGTGGGTACCTGGGAAGTTCAGATTTAGCTCCTGACTGGCCCATTGCCTGCACCCTGTGATTTTTTGGGGACCAGTCTCTAAGCAGCAAATGCTCTAAGGTGTTCAGGAGAGGACAGAGGGGGAACAGTCTTTCTGCTGTCCAGTTAAAGCTGTTGTCATGTTTTAACAAAAGAAAACTAAAAGGTTTTGACTGTGTCATTGGTCATTTGACTTTGAGCTTACTGAAGGATGAGCTCCTTGCTGGGGACTCCCAAAGCCAAGAGCAAAGGGAGCACTCTGGTGATGCCAAGCCTGGCAGCAGAATCCTTGCCTGGCTCATCCCCTGGCCTGTGGTAGCTGCTTGGGTGTTTTTCTAGGTGACCTTTCCCTGGAAGCCAAACTGGGGCTACGGGCTTCCCCCATCCCCATGTGCCAGTTCTTGTCCCCAGCTCTGCTGTTGGGTGACATCCACATCTGGGCAGGGGAAAAGACTGGAAATTACATGAGGCAGGCCAAGAACACTGACAGTGTCCTCCCAGCATGGAGAGCTTGGGGTACAGCACAGGGGACCCTGCTGTCCCCAGCCTCAGTGTGTCACCCTGAGGACTTGCCTGGTGACACTGGGTCAGCTTTGACTCAGCAGTTCTGCCAGCCTGGGAATGCCCCAGCTCAATAAGCATATGGATCCCCTCCTGACCTCACACTGGGCCAGGGCCTTGGGGGACTGGAGCCCCCCATGACCCCTCGTGCCTGCCACGAGCTACCCTGTTCCCTCCTGACTGGGGGCCTGGGAGGAGAAAACAGCAGGAGGCCCTGAGGCATCACCAGCAGGTACCTGGCAGCTGTGGGGTTTCTGACACTGTTCGATATTTAATAAACTTCTTAAATAAATAACATTAATATAATATTAAAAGCTATTTACTGAATAGTGCTCAGGCAGATGCCAGGTTTCTAGGCAGAGCTGACATGTGATGCAGCTGTGGCTGTGTGCCACAGCCCTCAGGGCCAACCCTGGTGCCCTTTGCCAGCCTGGCCCAGAGGAGGAGGGATGCACATGGACATCCCACAGGAGGGACATCCCATTGCCCTCCGTGTGGAGCACATGAGGGAGCCCGATGGGCTGGGTTCTGTTCAGTGCCCAGCTGGGTGTCAGCCCCTCTTCCTGTTGTTTCCCTAACTTGTATTATTGTGCTTTAATGATGTGGTAAAGGGGGTGTCTGGATAATTCAGTCATGAGCACTGGAGGATAACAGAAGAGCTGAGGCTTTGCCACAGTCGTGGTGGTGATGAGGGCTGGAAGGTGAGGGCTCTGACTGCAGTTGGAGAATCAACTCTGTCATGTCTCAGTGCCCAAAACCTCCCTGCTCAGTGTCTTCAGGGACCCTCTAAGGACCCTCTAAGAACAGGGAGTTCTCCCTGACTTCTGATTCGTCCTGGTGAGATGCTCCAAGAGCCTCAGCCAAGCCATCCCAGAGGGACTGGGAAGCTGGGCCAGACCCCGGAGCACTGGGATTTGGAGCTGGGTACTGTGGTAGCCCATGGTCTGCCTCTGAGGCAACTAAGTCACCTGGGGCTTGCAACCTGCTCAAGGGGTCAGGTAGTGCCATACTGCTGCCCTGGTCGTGCCAGGGAGGGAGAGCTGTGTGTTCCAGGGCTGCTCCATCACTCCCTTCTGCACCTGGGCGTGGCACAGATCAGAGCCCGTGATGCCCAGGGGATCCATTCAGGGGTAAGGCCCCCTTGATTTCTCATTTTCTGCCTTGTGGAGCAGATGTTGTACCTCCCGAGGCACCTGAGAGACAGCAAAAGGCATAGCCATCACACAGGGATGAATGATGCCCGAGCCCCAGAACTGCAGAGTGCCCAGGCCAGCCACCTTCCCAGGATGGCTGGAGAAGCCACTCTATTGGGAGGCAGGTCTGAGCTAAAACTTGAGCTGCTGGAGGACTGGGATGTATATGGACCATATGGACACATAAGGGTGCCTCCCTGCACCCTTCCTTTTCCACACTGCCTAGAGCAGGTGAGCCTCACAAGGGTGGAGGAACACTCACAGGCTCCATGGCCCCTCAGGCAACAAAGCCATGAACTGGGGATTTACCCTCTAAATGCACCCATGTCAGTATGCCAAGCATGGCAGCATCCCACTCTCTCCTCTCCCTTCTTGGAGTTCCTGATGGCATTTTAATGCCCTTTAATGTCTCTGGACCAAAAGGCATTTTGTCCACACAAATAACAGTGCACCTTGTGGCTGCTGTCCCTGTGCCTTGCCAGAAGCTTGGCAGTCATTACTGAAATGAGTGAGTGCTGACCTCTGCCCACACCAGGGAGATGTGCTTCCCCAGGGGTAAAACAACAGTGAGCACGGATGGGGCAGAGACTCACCAAGGGCTGGGATGACAGGTGGGACATGAGCCAACAGTGTGTGCTGGCAGCCCAGAGAGCCAGCAGCATCCTGGGCCCGTCCCACAGCGTGGGCAGCACATCAGTGGGGGATTCTGCCCCTCTGCTCCACTCGGGGGAGACCCCACCTGCAGAGCTGCCTCCAGCTCTGGGGCACAAGAAGGATTTGGGGCTGTTGGAGCGAGTCTGGAAGAGGCCATGGAGGTGCTGTGGGGGCTGGGAGTGTTCACTTGGAGAAGGCTTCAGGGAGACCTTAGAGCCTTTTCCAGCCTGAAGGGGTTCCAGGAGAGATGGAGGAGGACTTTGGACGAGGGCGAAGGCTTCTTACTGACAGGGCAGGGTTAGGTGGGATATTGGGAAGAAATTGTTCCCTGTGAGGGTGGGCAGGCCCTGGCATGGGTTGCCCAGAGAAGCTGTGGCTACCCCATCCCTGGAAGTGTTTGAGGTCAGGTTGGACAGGGCTTGGAGCAACCTGGGCTAGTGAAAGGTGTCCCTGCCCATGACAAAGGGTGGTTTTTAAGTTCCCTTCCAATCCAAGCCATTCTGTGATTCTGTGATAACTGTCCTCGCCCTGCCTGCTGCGAGGGGCTCAGCACGTTCACCTGATTCTGGGACAGTCCCTGCTCTGTCCCTGCCAGCTCTGGTGGAGGGGTCCCCAGGGAGATCCCGCCTGTGAGGAAGGGGACATGATATGGGGCTTGATGCAGGTGGAGGCTCCAGAGCACAGGCACCCAGCCCTTCACTGCTGCTTTCAGACACCATACCTGATGTCCTTGGAGGTGCCACCATCTGGGACAGCCCATGGCACAGATCAGTGCCAGAGCCACCTTTTTGCTGTTCCCTTAGGCTCATCCAAGCCCCCGGGATACAGGAGGGCCATGTTACCAGCCAGTCCTAATGCATTATTCCTTTCTCCTTTTACAGGCCTTTGCACTGAAGCCAAGTGAAGAATCTCACAATTGCACTAAACTCCACTTAACTTTGATTCCTCTGGCAGCAAAGCGACTCTGCCATCAAGAAGACCTCGAGGGCTGTTTTACCCTCCCTGCACATCACTCCCAACTCCGTGCCTGGAAGCTGGTGCCCAGCAGTAGCTCTAACTCACTGTCCATCCCACTGGACCACTCCCAACCATGTTTCAGCGTCTCACCAGCCTCTTCTTCAGCGACAGCAGCACACCAGAGGGCCTAGAGGAGCCCAAACCCTTTGTTGAGGAGGAGGAGGAGGAGGATGGCTGGCTCGTAATTGATCTTGCAGGTGAGGAAAGCAGCAGGACTGGCTTCCCACAGCCTCTGCTGAACCTTGTCTTTTCGGAGCAGGGCAAACCCCTTGAGATGTCAGCAGATGAGCTCACACCACATGGGATCAGCTCTGCCCTTCATCCTTTCTCCCCTGGTCCCTTTGCCCTGCCCATGGTGCCCAGCCCTGTGGTCACCACAGCAGCCCCTGACCTTCTCCTCCTTTCCTCTTTCATCTCCCACTGATGGTTCCTGACTTTCCACCAGTGTGAGAGCAGTGTCAGCATCCCTGGCTGGGGCTGCCACTGCCCAGGATCCTCCAGGATGGGACCCTGGCAGGGCACCAGCCAGGGAGATTATCCAGAGTTTTGATGTGATCCTGGTGCCAGGGCTCGGTGGGGTGGAGAACCCAACCCATGCAGGCTCTACCCCCTGTCTGTGCCCTGGCCAGCACTTTTCTAGGAGGAGCCAGGCTCAGCTGCTCTCTGCTTTGCCCTTGCTGAAAGCAAACCAGGAGCTGGTGGGACACCAGGGTTGTCCCCATGAGAGGATAGGTGGTGGGGCTGTCCCAGCTGGGGATGTGCCACCAATGATCTGGTCACGTTTGGGTCATTTGAAGGGAGCAAATCTCAGTTCCAAAGGGGTTATATTCCCAAATCATTCCCAGTGCCCATGCCAAGCACAAGGGATGTTTGCCACCAGGTCCCTGTACCTAGAGAGCCCACAGGGCTCCCCCTTCCCAGGGATGGTGACAACCATCCAGAGCCTGTTTGACACCACCCAGACAGATTGAATTCCTCCTGTGTGGAGCTTCTCCAGCTCCATGGAGACCTTGGAGTTTCTGTTGTGGCATTGATGACTCAGCCAATTACAGTGATATTTTTATGACCTTTTCCTTGCAAATCCAGCAGTGACCCCTCTGGTCACAGACAAACCTGCCTGCCTGTGCAGGAGCTCCTGGTGGCCGTGCTGTCAGCTGTGGTGCCCCAGCCTAGGGGACCAGATGTATCCTGCAGGTTTAGGAGGGTTTTCTCCTCCCTTCCTCCCTCATGCAGGCAGCAGGTCTCTGAGCAGATGTGCCCTGCCTGTCCCCACCATACTTGTTTTTGTGGTGGGAGTTGTTCATTGGAGTTCTCCCCCATATCCCCTGGAGAGGGGACCAGACCAGGAACAAGCCTGGGATGAGGGACAGGGATCCCTGTTCCTCGTGGGAGGGAGCACTATGGAGAGCTGGTGGAAGTGATGGGTGGTGTGGGCACAGGCAGATGTGGAGGGTTCCCTGTCCTCTGGGCTCTCAGGTGACTGTCCAGAGTGGGTCACAGCAGTGACATGGGAGGGGGTTGATTGCAAGGACGTCCCTGGAGCGGCGAGTGTGCAGCTGCCAGGAGTCTGGGCCAGCTGGCAGCAGCTGCAGCCTAAAGCATGCCAGAAGGAGCCAGGAGTTTCCCCAGCCAGAGAAACACTGGCCTGTGCCCTGATCCCTGGGTCTGAGACTGCAGCTGGCTCAGAGGGGACCAAGGGTTGGCTGTGGTACGAAACACTCCCATTTTTTTCCCAGTGATGTGGCTGGGCTCTCGGTGCAGCGCTGGGTTCCAGCAGAGTCTGCTTGTGACGATCCCACTGCTAATTCCATTGCCGTCTGTTCCCACAGCAGTCCCTGAGCAGTGAGGGACCAGATTCTTCCAGCCCTGTTTCTGAGGCTGGAGTTATGTGAAGCACCTCAAAAGCGAGATGTGGAGTCTCTAGCCCCATCCTTCCCTTTGGAGCCGTGGTGGCCAGCAGCAGCTTCCAGCCTGGCTCCCTCCCAGCAGTTTAGGGAGCCTCCAGATTTGGTCCCTCTCAGCCTGGTCGTTACCCCAAAATGCACCCACATTACACAGATCTTCCAGGAGTAATTCCGATGCTCCTCTCAGCCCCTTGCCCAGCCTGCCTCTGCTCAGCACCCAGGGAGGGAGCCAAGAGCATTTCCCAGGATATGGCTGGGAATATATCCCCAGGGATTTGAGGATCCCAAAAAACTGCTTGTGACATTAAAACCCAGGCTGGCAAAGGATGGGAGCAGGGAGCCCTGGACAGGCTGCAGTGAGCCCCCTGCTCCCTGTGCCCACAGACCCCTGTTGAGGGAGTACTGCTGGACCGGGGATGCTCCAGCCAGGCTCGATGGCTGTCTCCAGGCAGACAAATAATCTTCAGCCCATCATGTCAACAACTATTAATAGACTGATATCCACTGACCTGGAGAAAGACATTCTTGTGTTTTCAAGGCCAGTTGTGACCTGCCCTGAGTCCTGGGCTGGGACATCAGCTAAGGGAGGAGCTGGAGATGCATGGAGCTGGGAATACCATGCTCATGCTCATGCACTGCATTTCTCCACGCAAGAACACATTCACCTGTGATTCCTCCTGCTACCTCACCCAAGCACAGGGTCACATGCACCTATATAGATGTTGCACTGCCTCCCCCCTCACTGACACGGGTTCTCTCGAATCCCCCTGATGAGTCTGAGAATGGGTATGGGCATCCCGATGAGCCTAACATTAGGTGCAGACTCCTCTCTCATTACACCACCAGTAATTCCAAGCACCACCAGCCCAGAAAAGCACCAGCCCAAGTGCTTTTGCCAGGTAGAGATGAGGAAGGGAAAGCATTAAAGGCTGGGGCATTGGAGGGGTGTCAGCTCCCATATCAGCCACCCAAAATTCGGCCTCTAAGGGACTGAAGTTGAAGGCACAGCGAAAACCTTTGCTGAAGAATTTATTCCCGTGATTTCTTCCAGAGAAAAGGTGTGGACTGTTTTTCCCCTGTGTGTGTGCTTGGTTTCCATGTTTGCAAAGTGTTGGGTGGTGTTTGTGGGCACAGACATGCCGGCGTTCCTCTGGAGCGGCACGGCACGGCACGGCACGGCACGGCTCGGGTGCCGAGAGAAAAGGCAAAAGCAGCGTTTCTTGCTGGCTGAACTTCCTTCCTTTAGAGAAGGAAAAACCATTGCTGCAGTAAATCCTGCTGGTTCCCCCACTTCTTGGTTCGGCTTGCCTAACCAGGCCCCTTTCCAAGCTGGAGCCGGGTCCCTCAGCAGCGGTGGGTGCTGGTTGGGGCGGGGGCGCCGCCGGCGCGTCCCTGCCCGCGGGGCCGTGCCCGTCTCTGGCGGTGGCGGTGGGGTGTGTCTTGCACTAACGATGCCCCTTTCTCTCCCCCTCCCCTCCCCACTGTACATGGTATGCGTGTGTGTCCCCGCTCGCCCCGCATGGCTCTGCACCCCCCCCAGGCAGCCGTGCCCGCCCCGGCCCAGCCCGGCGAGCGGGTGCGGGCGGTACCGGGCGCTCGGCGCGGCCCCGCCCGACGCCCCCCAGTCCGCCACCGGCCGCTTCCCCGGCTCCGGCCGGTCCCTGCTTGATGGACGAGAGTTGGTTTGTCACCCCTCCCCCCTGTTTTACTGCAGAAGAGCCCGGCCCTGACGGTGTGGGGAGCAGCCCCATGGAGGACCTGCTCATCGAGCACCCCAGCATGTCCGTCTACGTCACCAGCACCCTCGAGGTGGATGGGGAGGGCCCCGAGGACGATGCTGCCGGGTGAGTGCACTTTGAGGGTGTTCGTGGGGGGCTGGCAGCCCCAGCACCCACTGAGGGACCGGGGTGGACGGTCAGCCTGGCATCCCAAATCCCCTCGTACACCTGAGAGTATGTCCTGTGGACAGAGTGGAGCAGTGGGGGACATTAATTGTCCCCATGCCCCATCTCAAGAGAGTACTCTGCACATCTGGTCAGATGTTGTGCAAGGCTGGCAGCCCCTGTGTCCCAAAATCCTCTGCTGAGGAGGACTCAGCAGCATGTTTGGATGGCCATGGATGCAGGGTTTCCTGGCATGGCCAATGCCACTCGTGCGTGATGCCACCCGTGCTAATACCGCCTGTCACCGCATCACCCGTCTGGGGATTTGCCAGGCTGGGCTTACATTGTGGTTTTCCATAGGTACAGCCCAAGCAAAGCAAACAAAATAGAAAAAAATACAACAGGGTAGCCTTTGGGCACAGTGGCCCCCTGAAGATCCCAGGCAGGAATGTGCTGAAGACCCCTGATCCCCCTTCTGGCCCCATGCTGGCCCAGCACAGGGTTATCCCACAGCTGTGTGGGAGTGGGACATCACCAGCTTCTTGCCCCAAACTACAGCTTAGCACAGGAGGAAAATAAACAGAAATGCCCCAAATGGCCCTGCTGCCCTCTGCTCCCCAAGGCCTGGGTACTGGAGCCCTCCCCACGCCTTCCTGGGACCACAGCCTGGAGGTCTGTCCTTCCTCCAGGGCTGCCTCCACTGTGTGGAGAAAACCTGAACCATGCACAGACTCAGCCCTGCCAATGCTGGCCAAGCCCTGGCTCCCACCGTGCCAGGGGGTCCCTGCTGCCCCCCAGTCCCAGCCCTCCAGCATCTCCCCCAGGGCCCCCTCACTGGGACAGGGGAAGAGTAAGAATTTGAGGTAAACTTCACCTTGGGCTAGGGGACACCATTCCTGTCAGGGGACACTGTTCCTTGCTAGGGGACATCAGTCATAGTTAGGGGATGCTGTTTTTGGCTAGGAAACACCATTCCTGATTAGGGGACACTGCTCCTGGCTTGGTGACACCATTCCTCCAGGACTTCTCTCTCCAAAGTCTCCCTGAGGGCCACAGCTTGATCTCCAGACCTTTAGGGGCTGCTCAGTGCTGGAGGGGGCAGAGAATGGCCAAAGAGGACTTGAGACTAGCCAGGGGACAAAAGACGTCACAGTGAAATGGAGATAGACCAGGCTCAAGAGACTTAGCCATGGTAGAGGGCTGTGGGAACGCCCTGTTCCTGGTGGTGTCTGGATTTGTCCAGGTGTCCCAGAGCCTGCCTGTGCTGGAGCATCCCTGCCCTCGGGAGGCTGTTGGGGCAGGAGGTGCCCAGCCCATCCCAGGGCACAGCGTGTGGGGAGGGGGTTGGTGCTCCTGGGGAGGGTGAGGGCAGTGCCGGCCCCGCTGACGGCCCCTCTCTCCGCAGGGAGGTGCCGGAGCCGCGGCTGGAGCGGCACGTGGCGCACCACGGCCGGTCCCTGGCGGTCAAGGCGGCCATCCTGGACAAGGTGGGGCAGGCGCAGCGGGTGCAGCGGGCCAAGCAGCTGGCGGAGCGGCACCGGCTGGGCCAGAAGGCGCTGCAGCGGCAGAACCGCGCCCGGCAGCGCCCGCCGCGCCGCGCCAAGCAGCTCCCCGGAGCCTTCGTGCACCAGCCCTGCCAGCGCCACTGCAACTACTGACCTCGCCGGGACGGCTGCGCCGCCGCTGCCCCGCCGAGGGGGCCCTCACCCCCCGCCGACACCGCCCCCGGGAGTGCCGGCCCCCACGGACACCGGCGACACCGGCTGCGGTTCCACTCCACGCCCCCACACCCGCGCTCCTGGCCCACGCTCCTCATCTTCCTTCACGCGCCCTCTCTGCTCCCCTCGCCCCTCGCCCTCGATGCCAGCTGGGCCAGCAACCCCTGGAGCTGCCGGCATGGAGGGCCGTGCTGACCCCCCCATCCTCACAGCCTCGCCAGCCTTCACACAGGAAATCGGTATTCCCAGGGAAATCACCTATTCCCGAAATCCATGGCGAAGCCTGTTTGTCCTGACAAGCCTGTGACAACAGTGCCTTTCCTCACAACATCATGACTCCACGTACAGCCAGGCTGGGATGTCACAGAGACACCGAGCAGAAGTGAAAAGAGCAACGAAGCCACAAGATTTGGGATTTTTAGGAAAATCTCGTCAATGACACTAAGTAATGCTTCCTCCCTGCACAACCAGCAAATACTCCCCTCCCTCCTTGATAGAAATAGTTACGTTTTTACCACGATAAGACAAACCCCCACTGCTGGTCCTGAAGGGGCTTGTGGTGGGAAGCACTGGTGGAACCTTTGTGGCCGGGTCAGCCAGGTGGCTCCTGACGCCTCACGGTGTTTTTTTTAAATCAACCTTCAAAACAATCTCAGGAATCAAATCACCGTCCCAGCGCCGTGCCGGAGCCCTTGGCCACTGTGCCAGGAGGGGTGGCCAGCCCAGGGCAGTGGTGGCATCACCGTGGCTGGTGGTCCCACCCGAGCAAGCCCCTTCCTCCTGGAGCCACTTGCCCGCCCCAGCCACACCTGTATCCCTACAGATACGCCTGTATATGTGTGTGTATATATTTCCCTCTATACCTTTATGCTTGGAAGAGGCACTGTTAAGCCAAGGAGCATCGGCTGCCTATGTCAGTCCCCGGGAGGGGGAGAGGCAATGATCTGCACAGCTTCCCTGAGGTGGCAAAGCATGTCGATGGTGGTGGTGAAGAGATGCTGAAGAAGAGGCCAGAGGGAAGAGGCTGAAGTAAGGACAAAGATGGATCTGGGAGTGGCTGCAAAGGGTCTAGATGGGGCAAGCCCAAGTGAAGGATTACTTTAACAGGAGCTGTAATGGGTGCATCTTCTTTCCCCACCCCACTAAAATTTGCATCCTTTCCCATGAAGGGCCAAATCCCATTGTAGAAAATGTTGATCTTTAATGCAAATCCCTCCCCTTCCCGTGACGGACTTATTCTGCCTTTGGAGGAACATTGCCTAGACTTTTCACTGGCTCCAGCACCAGCTGAGATGGCTCCAAACCCAGCAGAAATTTGCTGATTGCCCCTAGCTCCCTCCCTTTAGGAACAGGTTTGCACCCTGTGCCCATGGAAAGTGTCCTGCTTGTGGCCAGCTCACAGCCTGAATTCCTACCCTCTGAAAAAAGAAATACCCTTACAACCCCCCCCAAAATTCTGATTTCACAGGAGTTTCTTCCATTCACTGTGTTACATCCCTTAATATTAGCCGAGGACCTCGGCTGAAGGAACTGTGGTAAGCCCAACCTCAGACACCTGGTAGTTATTAATTCTTTCAAAGAGATTAAAAACAAACAGGTCCAGGCTCTGGGCTGGGCAGCCTGCCCCGCAGGAGTGGCTGCTGCTGCTCACCTGCAGCCTTTCTCCTCCACTCCCATGACATCGTGTTCCCAAAAACTCAGAGCTGGGAACTCGGCGTTCCCCCTGCCCTTGGCATTGCCCCGCACTCCTTGGGCCTCGCCGCAACCTCCGTCCCTCGCCGAGCCCGAGCCCACACCGGAGATCGCCCCGTCCCGCCTCTGGTGTCTTCTTGGTGAATACACTGACTCGAGGGGAACCTTTACCTCCTCTGGCTTCCTGGACTTCACACTAAATGCCTTTTCTCCCCCCTGAAGTGATGCCTGGTGTGAACCAGGAGCATGGCACGTGCAGGGACTCTGGCACAGGTGCTTGTGATGACAAGCAGGGGCTGAGCCCGAGCTCCCGGACGTCCTTCCCCGTCCCACTCTTCCCATGTTGCTGCATGATCCGCTCTGTGGCCACTGGGCAGTACCATTACAGGAACCGGTTTCTCTCCAGCCCAATTACACATCAAGAAGTGAAGCCACACAGCATCCTGCCTCCCAGCCTGTTCTCCACTCCAAATTCTCCTCCCGAGCATCGAAGTCACCTTCCAGAGCACTCCAGAAATCAGAGGCTGGTTGCGACCCCATTACCCCTCCACAGCTCCCAGAGGAAGGGGCCGGGGAGCAGCAGTGAGCTCAGGGCACATCCTGCCACGTCTCATCTACCAGGCTTTCCTGTGCCCACTGGTCTGCATGGAAATGGTACCCCAGGAGAAATCCCTCATCGAAATCCTCCCTTGTCCTGCTCATCTGTTGTGACCCAGAACCTCTTGGCCATGTTCCTGGTGGGCTTGGGGCAGCCATGGCACTGACACACCCAGCCCCAGCTCCCAGCCCCCAGGCACCATTTCCATCAGGTGATGTTGGTTTTCAGAAGCAAATGCAAACTGTTTTTTTCCTTTCTTCTTTCCATGCCAGTCTGAGGTGTTTTTCCTCATGCTGTGCCCAGCAAACACAGGACATGAAGCAGAACTATTATCACACTTTATATCCAGAGGATGTTTATAAAGGATTAATAAATTATTAATAATGTTTCCATGAAGAGATTAAACCAGAGTCCAAGCAGGTCAGCAGAGTGCATGTACCACAGCAAACCTCTGCTCCTGTGACCCCCCTCTGTTGTTTGCACACTTGTTGTGTATTAACACCTAACACTCACCTGCCAACCCCCTGCAAGGCGACTGTCACCCCCAGTGTGACCCACCCTCCCTGTGCTGTGGCAAAAGGGTGTTCAACCTGTGCTTTGCAGAAGCCCTGCGATGCTCTGCTGCTGCCCAGCAGCAAGCACAGGGCCTGGCCTGATCCCAAATCTCCTGCACATTGTTGCCAGAGCAAGAAAATTCCTTTTCATTGAGGTTATTTGTCTCCTCGAATCTTAAAACAAATGAAAGGTGCTTAAAAACTGAGAACTTTGGTGTGTGCACCTGTGTGCATGTGTAGATACTTCACAGCCTGGTGTGAGTGTTCAGTAGGTTATTTTGGGGTGTGGGGTTGAGTTTTTTAGGGGTTTCTTGGTTGGTTTTTTTTTGCACCCAGTGTTTGTGATGAGTTGTGTGGTGCTCCTGATGGGAAGGTGCTCACAGGGAGCCCCCTTGGGCTGGTCCTGCTGGGACAACTGGGATGATTTTGCTTTCTTTTCCGTATTTGTGTAGGGGGAAACTACAGCATGGACTCAGGGACAAACCAATCTGCTGAGGTCTTTAAAAATGTCTCTTTTCCAGGCTTCTCTGCTAGGATGTGGGGTTTGGTTTGGTCTGTGAGGGATCTGCAGGGATGGGGCCTGTGGCAGAACATGGTGGTGAGAGGCTGCCCAGGCTGTGTCAGAGGAGCTGCAGGGTTTGGTGCTCTGACATTCCAGCGTGGAAAAGAAGCTGTGGCCACTCATGGTGGGACCATTCCTAGGCAGCAGCCCCTCTTTATTTGTTCATGTCCTGAAAATTCACCTTACAGTTGCCAGAATGCGGCTTGTCCCTTTTTGGACTTGCCTGTGAACAAACAGGTACAGATTTTCAGCACTGAGCCTCCGAGGATTTGGCAAGTGCAGTAGAGCTGGGTGTTCTGGCCTGACTCCCATGACATCACTGGGATCAGGAGACAGCCAGGGTGGGGGAAGCCACTGGAATGATCACCTGGAGAAATGGTGATGTAGGTGACAGGCGGATTTGAGGGAAGAAATTTTTGTATTTCTTGCACTGAAAGCATAAAAAAAGAATTCCTGGTGGAGTGGCCTGGGCAAATCCCCGTTCAGTAAATGCCAGCTTTTCTGGGCGGCATGGCAGTGCTGGGGTTCAGACAGGGGAGATGGGTCCAGCCACAGCAGCAGCCTTGCAGCCCCGCTCTGGAGTTGCAGTGAGGAACGGGCCCGGGCAGCTGCGAGGGCAGCGCTGTCAGTGCTGGCTGGAGCCTGTGGAGGCAGCACACCCCTACAGTGGGAAGGATCTTTCCACCACCATTGTGTAGGGATGTTCTCCAAGCAAGACTTGCATCTCAGCTGAGTTGTTTTGGTCCAGCTGCCCTGGTACTCACGCGATGGATGAACCCCAATGGGTGGTCAGGCTCCCCCAGCCAGCAGGATGGGACCAGGGAGGCCCTCCTGCAGGAGTGCCAGCTCTTGGGATGCATCAGGACACCCCCATGCCCCCCACCTTCCCATGGCTGTGCTTCCTGCACCACTCAAGGCCAGGCTGGAGGCTAAGGCACAGCCACAGCACATGCAGGGCACTCACTGGCAGCCACGACAAATCCTCACCTCTGATTTTGGCTGTCGCTTGTGCTGCAAGGCTGGGGGGCTGCCAAGAGAGTAGTGGCAAAAGTCTTCCTCACCTGTGTGAGTGCTCTGAAATCTGCACTCACAAATGCTCTTTCCAAAAAAAACGTCTGCCACAAAAGCTTCATCTGGGAGAAAGACAGCTCTTTTCATGGGAGTCAGTATTTCTTTCTCATCATGGATAACATAAATGCATGGCTCATCCCAAAGACTGCTGTGGGAATTTTCTCTCTTTGGGCATGTTTCTAATCAATAATTTTACATCATACCAATACCTTTTCCTCTTCCATCCAACCCTACTGGGGAGAAAAATACCCACTTAGATGTCTTATCATACCAGTCAGAACAAAAAAAAAAAAAAGAAAAAAAACTACAGTGAGTTTATAGGCTTGACTTCCACAGCTTTGCAGTCACTCCTTTGGAGGACCAGTATAAATTCCAGCGCCCTGCATCAAGTGGAAACTAAATGTCATGTGAATTTATTGAAAAACAAGTGAGTCCCCAGAGATTAAATTTCTAATAATTAATGGACAGTAAGAAGTGATAGGTCATCTCAAGTCAAGCAAAATGGTTCTCAGCATCTACCAAAAGGCAGCGCCGAGCCCTGCTGGTCTGGGGATTGGTGGTGATGGTCCCCGAGTCTTTCCTGAGTGTCCAGGTAAAAATGAGAGGTCATCTGTGTCCAGCTGGTGCTGCAGGGACTCTCGAGGCACCAGAGATTGTCAGCAACCACCATTCCCACAAGTGACTCGGAGTTTGCTGTTCCTTTGCTGTCTGCACTCATAAATGCTGGTGGCAGGAGGGATGTGCCAGCACCACAGAATTGCCCCCAAGTTCTCAGAGCTTCCCCCCAGGCCCTTCTCCACCACAGGACTGTGTCTGCTGACCTCCTCAGCACAGCTGCTTACAGGGACTGGAATCTGAGGACAGACACCCACGGCACTGGCAACCTCTCCATCCCAGAGAACTGCCATGGTCAGACCCACCCATCAGACCTTCTGGGGACATTAATGGGCCTTAGTTGGGGCTGATCCTTTTAGGGCTTGTCTTCTTTAGGGTGGAGTTTTCCATCTCTGCCCATTTCTCTCAGATATGCTCCATACAAAGTCAGTAATTGCCCATCATCCTCACAGGCTCCATCCTCACCCCATTCTCATGATCCACGGGTCGCCTGACTGTGGCTGTAGGAAGAAGCTGGATGCAGCAGTGGGAGAGGCTCTGCCTGGCTGTCAAGTCCCTCCTTTGGTGAGAGGTGTCCTCAGACCTGTCAGAGATGCCACCTTCTCCTCCACTTGTCTCCAGGACCCCCTTGGTGGGAGCCCTTAGCAGCCCTGGGCTCTGGACAGCCGGACATGGCTTGGGCAGGAGGTCTCCCCTTCCATGCCACTCACTGATGTGTCTTCCACCAGCCTTTCTTTTTTTTTTCTTAAAAGACTCTGTGTCATTAACTAAACCCACAATTTTCCTTAAAGGGATGAGGATGACAAGGACGAGCAGTGCCATTTAAATAGCAAACATGGCTCTTACACATGATCCTCCTTTTAATTCTCCTGTGCAGAGCAGTGACTGACACCCAGGTGTGTCCCCTGTGCAGTCATTCAGAGCTAACACCTCCTGGGCTGGCAAGGGGGTTGCTTTCCCAGCCCCAGAGATACAGGTATGTAACCCCATGTCCCAGAGCACAAAAGCTGCTGCAAAGCTTTGGTTCTGTTACAGCTAAACCTGAAAATCCTTCTGCCTTCCACTCTCATCCTATTTTATTACCTGTGTGTGGGAAAGATTTTATTCCTTGCAAATGGAGGGGAAAACAGCACAGCAAGTTCTAAGTGTAACATAAAAATGGGTTGCACAGGGAGCCAAAGTTCGTCTACTCTTTCACATTCACCTTGTGTTTCCTTGTCGGGGAAGCTGGGAGCAGCTGTGCCCAAATCTCACCAAAATCTTATCCTCAGCTTTATGCTTCAGGAAGTCAAGGGATGAGGGAACAGCACAAGGTGTAACAGTTAAACTAGTAAAATTTTCTCTTGTATCAGAACTGTTCTTGTACAGAGCCACTGAGCACTGCAATATTCTGTCTGTCTGTATCAACCTCAACTATTCCGCTTGTAAAACTCATCCCTGCACATTATCCATCCCCATGCTGGACTGACTGTACATGTGCCTTCACCCTTTTTCATGATTTGTCATCTTTTTTTAACACAATTACAGAACTTGAATAAATCACTGAACTGCAGTTACAAGTCCTATGCAAGAGGTGGCTGGGGAGTCAGTTTTTGATATTTCTGTGTTTCTGTGTTGTTTTCAAAGTCGTCGTGAAGATTTTTCAGAGAAGCCCAACAGAATGATTACCCCAAAAAACATTCAGATTTAATTTTTTTTTCTAGCTAAAAAGCATTTAGCATTTTGGATGCTAAATATCTTAGGCAGCTTTGAAAAGCTCAGCCTAAACCCCAGTTCCTTGCTGGGCCATGCCTGGAGAGCAAGCAAGAGCAGTAGCAGCAGGAAGGACGAGCACCAGAACAGCCGGTGTGTTCCACAGCCGGTGTTTCCTCTTGAGAAAGGTTGGAAAAGGTCACCTTAAGCCTTCCCTAAAATGCATGGGAGAATGTTGCCATGCCCAGCCACCCTGCGCCCACTGCCAGCCCGGGGCAGAGCGTGGCCGTCAAGCAGCTCTCCATGCCTGGGCTCTGCTGAATGCCTTAACTGGGGTCAGCTGCCACTCTGGACCTTGGAGAAGAGGTAAAAACAAGGCCCACGTTTTTCTACATCACCTATGCTGTAGGACTGAAACCTTGTCCGAAACTCATAGCTGACAAAATCTGTCCTTTTCGTGTGTTCTGTGTTCAGTTGGTGTGAGCGAGGTTGGTAGGGAAAGGGCATCTCCTCCTCGTAGGACACTGTGTAAACATTTGCTGTGTGTCAACAGAGTGAAGGACACGACTGCCTGGGGTACGTTCGTAGTGTGCCTGTGTGTATGTAACCTGGTTTTGGTTGTTAGGTTGTAATGCTGTCTCTTGACTGAGAAAAGAAATCTAATATAAAGAAAAATCACAAGAAATAATAAAAAAATCTATTTAAACTCTATTTTATGTGTGTTGTTTTTAAAGCCTGCAAGTAAATCTGTCTTTAAAAAGCTCTGGTTTTTTTAAAAAGCTTTTAAAAGTCAGTTCTGTAAGAGACAGGTAACAGAAAAATGTCCCCTTTGAAGATAAGGATGCACAGGAGAGGGGATGGCACAGGCTGAGGTGTTGGAGGGGATTTATTTCCCCTCCACATTACACCAAACCCTACAACTCAGCAGGCAATTGAGCTAAAGCAGATTGCCCTGAGAAAGCAGGAGTCCCAGATGAGCTGATCCCTGCAGCATCATCTGTTTCCCCAAGCACGTAGCCAGCAGTGGGAGATGTTTTCACCACCCACTGAGAGAAAGAGATGCCTCCAAGGTCATTAAAGGCTTGGAGCATCCAGCAGATAGGAGGCTGAGAGCTGGAAATGCCCAACCTGGGGAAGGTTCAGAGACATCCGGCCTATGTGTGCAGATTCCTGATGGGGGAAGTACAGAAGACAGAACATTCTCAGTCCAAGGCAGGGTGAGAGGCACAGACTGAAGTAAAAAAAAAAAAAATATAATTTAAACACAAGAAAATTTTTTTTTCTTTTAGAGTGGTTGGCCACAGACACAGGTTGAGAGGTTGAGGAGCCTCCATCCTTGGAGATACCCAAGATGGGAGCAGACACGGCCCTGAGCAGCTTGGGGCAGGGCTGGGATGGGGCTTGCCCAGCCCAGCAGCTGCTCCAGCTCCTCCAGCAGAGCCAAGCCAAGGGGTGCTCTAGGTGTCCCACACATGATCCCCCAGTAGCTGGGGAAGCACTTCAAGGAATTGTTAGGAATTGGGAATGAAAAAATAGATGGGAGTGAGCTTCGACAAACTTTCTCACGGGAAAACCAAATTCAGGAGTGGAGACAACACACAGGGTTATTTGGGATGGATGGGCCTTGGGAGGTCCAGTCCAACACCCTGCACACAGCAGGGTAAATACAGAACTCATACCATGTTGTACAGGGATTTGTTCCGCCAAAGCCTGAAATTCACCCGAGAGAGATCCACCACCACATCCCGGGGGAATATTTTGTTCTATCCAGTCAGAACATCCTCTCCTTCTGTTTATTCTAGTGGTGTCCTTTCCTCCCAGCACTCACCTCCATAAGAGCCCAGCTGCATCTTCTCCAAGACATGAAAGGGTGATGAAACCCCTGGCCATCCTGGTGGCCCTCTCTTGTGTCCCCTCTACTTTATCAACATCTTTCTTGTGTATGTGGGTGTGTGGTGGTGGAAACCAGGTGACAACACTCCAGCTGGGGTCTAACAGGCGCCAAGAAAAGGGGAACAATCACTTCCCTGACCCACGGGCTGCCATCCTGCAGGCACAGCACAGCCCTCCCTGCACACAGCCGGGCTCTGCTCTCCTCCAGGGCTCCCACTGCAGAGCTGCTCCCCCCTCGGGCACGGGAAGGGTGGTCAGGCACTGGGACAGGCTGCCCGGGGCAGTGCTGGAAGTCACCATCCCTGGAGGGGTTTAAAACCACGTGGCACCTGGGGACACGGTTTAGTGCTGGCCTTGGCAGTGCTGGGGTAACAGATGGTCTTACATGGTTTTTCCAACTTAAATGATTCTACAATTCTGTGACTATTACCTTGTACACTACTAGGTAATTTGTCATTATGAAAGCTGACAACTTATATTTAATGACGATTTATATTTAATTGGCCTTTGGAGACACGTATTTTTAAAATCCAATAAGAAAGAGAAAAGGTGAAAGTGTTTGTGCACAAAGCCCCGAGCAATCTGCAGAGTCCGGCTCCTGGTTCTCCTGGGAACACCAAGCCTGACCTACTTTCCGCGGCACAGCCCCACCCGCCCTCCCGACGGCAGCAGATAATGCAGCCCTGCAGGAGCCCTCACCCCACGGAACGGGGCCTTTCCCTGCCTGTTCCCTGCTCAGCAGCTCTTGGTGGGAGCCTCCTCGCCCCGTGCTCCCTGCACAGATCCCGGGGGGGGGAAGCAGGGTGGCCATCCCTATTTCCTTACTTTGCAGGAACAACTGCATCAGTTAATTTGTTTGTGGTTAAACAAATTCCTTTCTAAAGCTCCATATAAGGAGCTTGCAGGCCCAGAGCTCTAAATAATCCCTTCAGTCCTCCTGTTTGGAATGATGCTGCTGCTGTTGCTAATAATAATTCAACCCAATTTATAGGACAATAACATTTATTTAGAGCATGAGGGATTCCACATTATACAAACCCTTAAATTTATTTTTTGTTTCACTGGTCCATTTCTACAACAAATACATCAGATCTACTATATAATAAAATTATTTACATTTACAAACAATATGGGGTTTGTTTATAAACCCTCGGACTGCTATTCACATACAGTACTTAAACAACAGCACAATACATTATTTTAATACCTAAAAATGACAACCCTGTATTCTAAATTGTTTATGAAAAGTGGAAACAAATAAATTTACAATTGTCTTCCCCTCCGCGTCCATTTCATACAAACACATTACCCTAATGTGCTAACCCTGGACTTCACTTTGTAAATCCAGGGGGTTTTAGAAGAACCCAGTTTTTATAACTATTTATCTGTTTTTTAGAAAAAAAAATTCATTTATTGGGAACAGTATAATATTAAAATGACTTACTGTACAGAATTTTATTTAAAAAAGAAAAATCACAGCTCAAAATTGCTATTGGTAAATTCACACTCATTTACAAGTCTCATGTTTCCATGCAGTAATTTACTTGGATTTTCTTCTTTTTGACTGCATTGCACTGGCACTCGTTTCTGAAATCAAGAGAAGAAAAAAAGCATGGATACGGAGTTGGTAAGCCTTTCCCAAGAGGGGCACAGATTGCCCTGTTATTCTTCCAAACTCACACCATAGTGGAAACCTCTGGAGACCAGGATTCCCCAGCACTGGGACTGACTCCTCAGCAGCTGGAACACAACCGGACCCATCGCCCCGACAGCTGCGGCAGCCACGCACACCACAATCCCGAGCCGCTCTCGGCACGAGCGAGAGAGTCTGGCCCTTAGGAAACCCTACTGTAACAGCCTCTAAAAGAAGAGCCAGACATTTTTAACTGTTCTTTAAGTTCAGTTCCCCACATGCCACAGCTTGCTGGGCCTTATTTTATCCCAGAAGGAAGCACAGCCTTGGGCACCACCCGTGTCTGTCAGCCCTGGGCACCACGGAGATGGTGCCACACAACAGCTGGGATCCTGCCACGCAAGTTAAGAACCTAGTTGTGTGAGTTCTTGGAAAGTCATTGGAAAACAAGTCTCTTCAGTGTAACTGAGTCTCAGGAACACAGCTTGTGCAGAGAGACACAAATCCTAGCACCTGCAGAGCCATGGTGACAGCAGGTGACATGTCCAGTGCACTTACCAAGGCACTATGATTCCACTTCAAAACAAAAAAAGAGTAAGGACCGAGGGCATTTGCATCTTTAGATTTTTTAAAAAATGTGATTTAAAATGTTGGCAATGATGTCTCTTTGGCTCTTTTCAATGTTTTCCAAAAGCTACTGCAGCTGTGTATATTTTAAGAGTCAAAAGGGAAAAAATTTCCAAGTCCACCTAAAACTAGAACAGCAGCAGTACATGGCTGTTACACATGGTATTAGAAAAAACAATCAACACTTCAAAATTTAACAAACTTGAAGTTACAGTAAATGCTGAAACAGCCCTTGCTGGAAAAGTACTCCAGAAAGGGAAAATACCAATACAGTACCAGTTTCAGGAGTGAAAGACCTCCACAGGCACAACTGCAGCCTGGAGCCCCTCCAAGCAGCAAGGCTGACTCTGAAGTAGCTTCAGCACTAGCTGTTGCCACCTTTGCTGCTCCAAGCTCCGTGTTTGGGAGGAGGAATGGGTCAGCACAGCTCAGTCCCTGTCCCAGTCCCTTGGGAGCATCACCAACATCTCCCTAAAAGCTGCATGGTGGAGCACGGCATGTACACATGGACAAGGGCTGACCCTCCACGTGTTCTCTTCTCTCACAGTGACCCTCCTGCCTCCCAGTGCTTACCAAGGGAGTTCCTACTCCCACCAATCAAAGTCTGCTCTCTCTCTCCCTGCTGCATTTAAGTTTTTGACTTAATTGCTGTTTCTATAATGACCTTAAACAGCCTCTGTCTCAAGAGGTAACTCCTCTCCCCACATTCCTTTTACCATGGATTAGGGGGTTTCTCAGGATACAGATAATGCACTGAGGCCTGGGGCACCCAAACCAGAATCATTAAGCTCTGATTCACTGACCAAAATGTACAACAGAGGAGGCACAAGTGGCAAACTTCTAGGCAGATGACACTTCCACAGTCACCTCACTACCTTCTGCCACTGAGCACCTGGTTTGGCTCATGTTCTCTACAGCCTGGAGATAAGGCAGCCACAGCCCACAGACTCCATGGAGAGCTGCACCCAGCAAACCCCTGAGACTCTGCAGCAGGTTCAGATGCATGTTTTAAAAGCAAGGATTTTACTTACAGAGGTAAATGAATTACACAGTCAGCACCAACCCCTACGAGAGTTCTGGTATTATTTAAATTTGATGCACTTTCATGTTCCCACATTTTCAGAATCTGATGTGTCACTGGTTGTCATCTTTAGGTTTATCCAGTCAGTGTGTGGGGCAGGTCACACGCTTCAGATCCCCTCAAACTCAGGCAGGTATCACCAAAGGGATTTTACATTGGCTTCACATTTTTCAAACTTTTCTTCACAATCATGAAAGAGAATTTATTTTTACAATAGACTTAGATTCTTCTGCACACTTCTGCCACAAGAAGTAAATGTACTTAAATTCAACAGCCACAAAAGTGCAGAACATACAGGTCCCCTGGGTAATCTTTGGGAGCCATTGCACAATGACGTATAGCTGGAAGGTTTCTCTGAAACTCTTAAAACACCATCACACTTTAGTATCTCCAGCATGGAAATGGTTGCTGAATTCAACTTGACTTCCTTTTATAATCATTTTATATTAATACCTCTTTGTTCTGTATATTATCTTT